AACATAGAAGCCTACATACGCCAAGACACGCCGCTGGATATCAACTTCAGAGATACGCACGGGGTGTCTTCGGATACTGTTAGGAGAGACGAAAGCGCTATCTCTGATCTCGCCGGGCACAGATTCAAGGAGGAAGGCTACCCTGTTGTCGACTACGAGTCAGATCGTCAGACCGCCATGTCGACAACAGTTAGATAGGCTACCCCAAATATTGTACTGGTGTGATTATCATGAATAAGAGCAATATCGGCTTCGGCCAACAGGATGTAGGGTTATTACCTGACAATTCAGGGGCCCGAACCTGTATAAAAATCCCTGTCTCCGTCTCTTTTACCTCAGTCTCGCGTATATCCTAGCACCAACGATCCCCATACTGTCCAAATACCGTAGTCGTGACATCAAACGTCGACATAAGTGCACTGTAATTTTAGTACAAGTGCACTGTAAATTTTGGTAACTAGAATATTTGCCGTTTTAGTACAAATACATTGCTTGAGAAACCGTGCAGTTATCTGAAGTGTTAAATATTACATTTATAAGTTGTAACTAAAATTACAGTGCTTTATAACTAAAATTACATTTGTAAAAACAGTAGATATGGCATGTAAGTGCACTGTAATTTTAGTACAAGTGCACTGTAAATTTTGGTAACTAGAATATTTCGTTTTAGTACAAATACATTGCTTGAGAAACCGTGCAGATATCTGAAGTGTTAAATATTGCATTTATAAGTTGTAACTAAAATTACAGTGCTTTATAACTAAAATTACATTTGTAAAAACAGTAGATATGACATGTAAGTGCACTTATTACAAGTGTATTTACACTTGTAAATGGCTACTGACATGCGTGATGTACAGGAATCCATCGATATATACAAAGTCAGATTGACTCGGTCATGTACTCAACTAATCCTGCTGTTGCACAAATCTTGGAAAACATCATGTGGCTAGAAAAACGTCATAGTTTGACTATGGAAGAAATCACCCGACAAATATTTAGCAAAATCGAATTACATTAGCCGCTAGCACGAGGCAACAAATTATCAATGTCTAGTACACCTAGCTAGTGGAATAGTGGATTAATTACTGGTAGTTACTTCTAGAAACGGAATCAACCGTACGTCAATGTCACGGATAAACTTGTGGCGTGGTGCCTCACGAAGATCCTAGTAAAGCTCAAGCACGATGACTTATAGATAATCTATCATATGCGTACGGCACGATGACTTCTTCTTTTAGGAGGCATGATGACTTTTGGACGCACATACTAACCTTCTTCTTATCTACTCTGATCTGATCGTCAGTTTATTTTAGGCTGTACTGCGCTGCATGAATTGTTATCCTATCCTAATTATAACCAGCCTTTCTAACATGCATGTTATAGTGTAACTTAATCATCATGCTTTAGCTAGCTGTTTGTTGATTGCTTCAGTTAATTACTAATTAATCCAATCCATGGGAGATTAGAGGTTGTTGCTAGCTAGTTAGAGCCTTGTTGCTAGCTAGCTACTCCGTAGAGGTGGGCCGGAGACACGATGATTTGAAAAGGTCAGAAGCATAAACAAATTGCTGTCTCCAATAGGGAGACGTGGTTTAGCAAGTGGATGAGTCAGTTTAATTTTTGCTTATCTAGTGGGAAGATGTCATATTATTTCACGCTTGATCAATACTCCGTTGAGCAACGTGCTCTGCCGCCGTCTTTCCGTTGTACTTGAACGACATAAACAATGTTGTTTTATAATGGGAGAATCTATTTTATACCACTTTGTTCGAGTTCAATGATTTGCAATCGACATTATCGTTTTCTATAATATACCGATGACTTTATCAATTGTTCTACAATAGACATTCTTTTCGAAAATATATATCCAAAATACCCTTATGGACATACAAGATTAACAATTGATTAATCTAATTTGAAGTTTCAAAAAAAATATAAAATCTTTTATGTGGCGTTCTAACACATGGAATTTTTTAGGTAAATTTTGCTACAGGACACTACGATTTCGTGGTTTTAGCCGTAGGTTACCGCCTGAACTCACTTTAAGGGGAAGACACTCCATAAACGTGGTAATTTGCTAATGTACACCATGCCGATTATAATAATAATTTCCGGTTGAAGAGGAGAGAGAAATCACGTGAAATGTCAAAAATACCCTTGGGACTACATGTCAGCTCTCCTATCTCTGCTCTCTCTCTATCCCCTCCTTCTAGCGTCTGATGTGCGGCGTCGGGTGGTCGTGGCGGCGGAGGACGACGCCAACACCGCGATAGCGACGGTGGACATGGCGGGCTTCCGCGCCTCCTCCTCCTCCTGCGCCTTGAGCGCCGCTAGGATGTCGAGCCCGATCCCTCCCGCGTCGCCGTGCGCCACCCGCGATCGATCGGGCTTGTCGGCGACGGAAGGCCGCCGCTGCCATACTCTTGCTGCTGCGGCTACTAGGGTGAGCAGTGGGCGATGGAGACGCCGAGCTTGCCTTCTCCACCATGGCTGAGATGAGTAGAGAGAGAGAGGAGGAGATCCCGTTGACCCATCGCTTGGTGGACTTCGCGGCATTGAGGATGATGGTGGAGATGGGGTCGGTGGCAGCGGACCCGCCGTTGCTGTCGCTCCAACCCTCACCCGCGCGTCGCCGCGGCCCCTCTGCTCCACGCATCAAACGTCGGAAGGAGGGGATAGAGAGAGAGGAGAGACACGAGAGCTGCTGACATGTGGGTACAAGGACATTTTTGACATTTCACGTGATCTCTCTCTTCTCTTCAACCAGAAATTATTATTCCAATCGGCGCGGTGTCCATTGGCAAATTACCACATTTATGGAGTGTCTTCCCCCAAAAGTGAGTTGGGTGGTGTCCTACGGCTAAAACCACGAAATCGAAGTGTCTTGTAGCAAAATTTGCCAAATTTGTATAGAAGTTTCAAGTTTTTTACATTTCTATTTTTTATAAAAAATATAACTTATTTGTTATATGCTATATAAAATACTTTTTATTGCTATTTTTAATATAAATCATCTTTCATACACTACATAAGATATTTTTATGCTATTATGTCTTGTATAAGCAAATTCTTTCTCATATACCACATAAAAAAATACTTTTTCCTAAAAACTAAGTATACACAAAAAGACTTGAAACTTGTATACAAACTTCCATGTTATGTAAGGTGGCCACATAAAAATTTTCATTTTTTTGAACTTCCGGTGATAATCTTGTATGTCTCTAAGGGTATTTTAGGTATTTTTGAAAAGAAGTTTCAGCCTAATGGCGTATTGTAGAATAATTGATAAAGTCACCGGTATATTATAAAAAGAGACACTATCAATGGCAAATCATTAAACTCGAGCAACTCAGGGGTATAGAATTAATTCTCTCTTGATTAAACAGGCACCATTGCGTTTTCGGATACTGGTCTGGCTATCTGAAGTGTAGGATAGAATCACAAGAACTAAGCCAACCAGAGGGGGGTGAATGGTTAGTATACCCAAAATCCGAAAACTTTTAGCGGAAATAAAAGTTACCCTCGAAATCGACGAGTCACGGTCTAACCGAAAGTGTTGCGCCGGTCTGACCGATGTAGATCGATCGGTCGAACCGCCGAAGTCGCCTGTCGCGCCTGCCGCCGCCGCCGGTCTAACCGCCTGTATGCCGCCGGTTTGACCGCTGCTTGCCGCCGGTCTGACCGCCGGTGTATCACCGGTTAGACCGCCGAAACCCGGTGAAACACAAATCGAAGAACTCTTAAAGTGGATGACGACTTTATTTATTCTCTCTGTGTTTAGAAAGTGCACCAACAGCACTCCTTACAAAAATTTCGACTAAACTCGAAACCCTAACTCAAAACTCAACTCAATTACTCTCAAAAGCGATACCGGGAAGCCTCACGCTCCCCCTCTATTTATACCCGAGGTAAGCAGCCTAAAGCCACGAACCAAACTCATACTAAGAGTCCTAAACACCTTAGAAAACCCTCTAGTACAAGAAACAAACTTTACATAACCAATCGTACCAAATTTGGACTCCTTCCAAATTCGACTCCGCATTCCATACGCACATAATACCTCCATCGTATGCCATATGGAATCTCCATCAACCACGTGCATCAACACTAGCCTAAGTATCCTGCATGATCTCTGACCACCACGAACGTCGTCTTATCCCCAAACCGACTCCCGGTCCATCACCGCAAATACTCTCCCGAGGCATCGAGTCACCTACACATGAAATAAACAAAGAAACCATATTCCGAGACCAAGCTATCTCCAACTTGACTCATTAGTAACAAACAACGGTATTACGTACGTATAGTATCCATCTAGAAGTCATAATCATGAAATAATCACGGATATCCAAACAAACAACCCGAAACCGAAACCGACAGAGTCGGCCGGTCAGACCGCGGGCTGGCCGGTCTGACTGCGCGCATACCGCCGGTCTGACCGGCAACACCTGCCCGGTCTGACCGGTCACATAAAATGACAACACCTGTAATTCACCTATAAATCCAATCATCTCCGAAACCACTTCGTGAATAAATTTCAAATAACAAAATTAATAATCTCCAATGCCAATTGTTCATCACAGAATAATAATAAAAACACCTTTGATTTTACATGAAGCACAGTTCTTATTCCTAGCTCAGTACTGATCGAATTGTGGACAAGACGACCATTAATTTGTCATTTAGTTAGAGTCGTCCAAATTAATTGATCAGCAGCTGATTTGTCCTGAAGTATTTGACAAATTGAGCAAGAATTTGATGGTGTGGTTTGTAATTAATTGAGAGTACTATACATACAAGTGGTGTTATGCAAGCTAGCTGGGCACTCGATCGATCGTTTGGCTCCGATGATGACAGCCATCTCGATCTACACGAAGGAATCATAAGAAGGTAAAGGTATATTCCAACCTCCACTGTACAACTTTGAAGATGCAAAGCTAGCCCAGCAACTAGTACTTGCATAGTACAAAGACCTATTATATATCAGCTTATACAGGGACAAGAACAAATTGTTTAATTTGTAAGGTCCAATGAATCAACGACAAAGTAGCATGCTTCTTTCATGGGCTTGATACCAGAACAATTAAGAAATATGCATAAATATCTATTATCTATTATATACTAAAAGTCCAATAAAATTCCTACAAATACTCTCAAGCCGTCACGTGGCGATAAAATCCTAAAAATTCAAAGAAAAAAGCAAAATATATATCCTTTGATTTTCACTTAAATTGATGGGTCCATTATTATACCCCGTTAGATGAAATTAATCTTAAAACAAACCAAATACTATACGTCCCAGCTCTCCCCCTTCTCGCGCGCATAGGTAGGTATATGTACGTACATGGGTACGTACGCTTCCTTCCCTTCTTCTTTTTTTTTCATTTATATAATGGATATATTTTTTAAATAATCATAATTAAAAAAAAATCTACCATCATATAACTCAGGTAACTAATTAGCTCTATATTTTTTTTTGAAAATAAAATTTATACCATTATATGTTACCCATTAAATTTATAATATAAGATAATTTCCACTTAAAATAGTGTACTCATAATATTATTTTCAAGTAGTGCACTATTTTAAAATAAAGTTTACACAATTATATTGTGTACCTATCAAATAAACAATTCAAGATCTACATTAACTAATTTATACGTGTACTTAAACCGATGACCTATTATTTAAATCATCGGATCTATTTTTTATTACATTATACTATTATTCTCAAATAATGCACTGTTTCGAAATAAAGTCTACACCATTATATTGTGTACCCATTAAATTAGCAAGTTAAAATCTATATTAACAAATCTACACGTACACTAGAATTGGTGGACCCATTATTTAAATCATCGGATGTAATATCCTGAAAATCCCTAATAATAAAAATCACTAAAATTTCGAACTTTTTAAAACTTTTGCATTATGCTGGATGTTATGGTTGCTATTGCTTGCCAAACTATAAATTGTCACGATTGAAGATTAAGCTAAAGCCGTACAACTAAGAAGTAATTAGAATAAGATAATTATTATTAATCCTATAAATATTTGTGTACATGATAGCAAGCCAAATAAAACACAAGTCAATTATTAATAATTACAAATTGTATGTTAAATACTTGAACCATGTCGACAAGTGTCATGACATCTAAGTAACCACGAAGTAGTCGCCACTACAATGATTTTATATATATAGGAGTGTTCCACTAGAATAATTAAATTAACATTTATAACTTTCATCGAGTCTCTCATGGGATGGATTCACTCATGTAAAATAATTTGTCATGCAAATAAATTGAACTTTATATATAAAATAGGTTTATGTGAGTGTTTAATTAAACATTTAGGTCAATATTGTACCAAGTATCAATTTACTTTTATGGAATAATCGATTAAATGTGTCCTTGTAAAATACATTGTTATACAAATAAACTCGACCAATGTGCTATTGTATTATTAAGGTCACATTAGAATATTTAATTAGTTTTTAAGAAATATCAAAGCTTATAGGTTATATTGGATAATTTTTGGATAATTTAATGGAAAGCAAATTCATTTGGGAACTAATAAATAACCAAATAAATATTCAAATCAAACATTTGAATTCTCAAAACCAAAATATATTGATTACATTTCAATTCAAATTCAATCCCATTCACTTTTGCAGATTAGCCCCTCCCTTTCCTTCCTTTCCCTTTTTCTTCCTTTTCTCTCTTTTCTCAGCCGCCACTATTCAATGTCCGCCAACCGTTCGATCCCGTCTACTGCGTGCACCACATCGCTTCTGGCCGCGCCAGTCACGCCCGTGCCGCACCGCAACCGCGCCTCCTTCCCCTCAGCTGCGTCCGACCCCAACCCTAGCCGCACCGCACTTGCCGCTCCGCAACCGTATCGCGTTGTATCGCGCCGTGCGTCGCATCGCGCCGGACCCACGCCCGCGCCCGCGTCATCCCTTCCGTGCCGCGTCGTGCCAGGGCCCGCACCACGCCAAGCCGCACCTCTAACCGCTCTCCTAGATTCTCTCCAGAAAACACGGAGCTGCACCATCGCCCATGTGCGCGCGTCGCCGTCGCCACGCCTGCCTTCATCACCCAGACACGCGCGTCCCATCGCCCCCATCCACGCCCAATGGATAAAACGGAGCCCTCTCCTCCAGCTAGCGCCCAGACCTGCAGTCTATAGGTTATAGGTGTGATGATTAAGCCACAGAACCTTAATGGAGAAGGAGATGAATCTCAGCCGCGTCATCCACCTCATTGCTCTTATCCGATCACCATTAGTACTCTAGCTCGCCTAGGCATGTGCTGGTGATCTTATCCCCATAGTTTGCTTGCATCCTAAGCGAAGCCCTCAACAAAATCCCCATCCCTCTCAGCCTTCTTCTCGTATGCATTTCATCGAACACCTTGCGATCACCCTCTCACCACCGCTAGAGATCACCATTGTGAGGCTCCCCGGCCGGAGCAGGAGGTTAGAGGGAGTGGAGGAAGAGCCGTGCTGCCGCCGTCGCCATGGGGGAAGCCGGGTAGCCGCTGGACATCAAGAAACGCCGTCGAGCACCTTACGTCGCTGCCGTTTGCCCCTGTCCTGCACCGCGTCGAGCTCCACTTCGCTGCGTTTCGCCATCTCGCCATCTCGCGGTACACCCTCGCGCCCGTAGCGTCCTCCATACATCTAATTGCTAGCGCCGGCTTCAAAATCGACGATTAGCGCCCATGGCCGTGCCGCCCCAGCCGCCGTTTCATCGCCGGCGAGCTCTCCGTGGGTAGGCTATCCCGGGAGCTCCCCTCTCCATATAGTTCGTGAAATCGAATCCCCATACCTCGTAGATGCTCCCGCACCCTTCAATTCGGCCGAAGGATGTCCCTAGCACCGAAGCCCCTTGTAGCCGAGCTCGGGCATGGCGTCGCCTGATGGCGCCGCGCGCCCCCGTCTCCTCGCGCGCCGGCTGCCATCGGCGGGAGATCACCGGAGCTCCTCCGCGCCTCACCCTGGCCGTCGCCGAGCCGCCCGCCGCCGTCCCGGCTCGGGCCGGCAACGCCGGCTGCGCCGAGCCGCGCCTCTGCCTCGCTCGGTAACGGGCGAGAGGAAGAAGAAGATGAGGAGAGAGAGAAACCGTGTGGGACCCACATGTGATTAGCGCACAGTAATCCTATCCCTAACGGTGATTATCCCACTCAATGGCAGGTGGGGTCCCTATAGTTAAAATCTAAGAAAACACAATTATATATTTTGTTCCTATGACAGGCGGGACCCAATGGTAATTAAACAAGCAGGTTTGACCCTAAGTCAACCAGGGCCGGTCCCACATGTCAACCACGGTGGGTTTTGGATAATGTTTCCGATTAAAAATAAATCATTTATGAACAGTGCATTTTTACAATTTCTCGGATTAACTCAAATTTGAATCTTTAAATTAGTATAAATTATTCATTTTAGCTCCGATTCGAGTGAAACTTGAACCTAAATTCATCTAAATTCATAAGCTTTCCAATGGTATATAACTCACTATTTAATAAAATATATTAATATCAAATGATTAGATTATGGTCAACTTAAAAATGTGCTAATAAATAAAATTGATATTGTACAGTAGAGTAGATGTCAAATAAATATATTTAACATGTTTTGTCACTGTAGCAACCACATAAACTAAGTATAAGTAATGTCTCAAATGAATGGATGTATAGGAAAATACTAGTGCTTATTTAATATTCGATGGCCATATAATTAAATTCATGACTTAAAAATTAGTTACATAAAGTTTAGCTTCATATTTTGTAACTAAAATATTAATACTCATAGATGAATCTTTAACTTGTTTATGAGAAATAATAACAGAGCTAGTGTGATTAAATCACCTATACGAAATTAATTACTTAATGTCATGTTCTTTGGAATAGTATCTTTTAAGTTGGTAATCTTAAGTTGATAAACAGTACCAACTCGCCAAATCCACCTGCATCACATATACTGTATAGCTTACAGTAAATAGCTCATGCTTAGTAAATGATCTAATACTAGTATGTTATTGCACTCACAACTACTGTACAGTCCATTTAAATCATACACAAGAACAATAACCTACCTTTTTCATATATTAAACTGAGGAGTCTATGATAAGCGTGTATAGTAGATAAAACACTAATTATAAATCTTGACCTCACACACAATTATAGTTTGACCGTGACTTAGGATTATTTATGGTAAAATTATGCATTGAGATAAACTTTAACTATAATATTATGGACCACACTAATCTAACCTACATAGCATGTAATTCGTTGGAACCCTAATACAGTAATATTTGTAGAGCCATGCTTAGATAATCCATCCTGTTAGAACTCTTGTTATGATTAAATTATCCACTGAGCCTTGGTAAATCTCCTGTAGGGTGTCACCATTTAAATTACAATCAAAGCTAGTTTAGCCATGAACTCCACATAGCAATAGTTCATAGATAATTCCATAGTCCTGAGTATTGAGTTCTGTATGTGAGCAGCCATAGTTTGGACTTCGTAGCACCTTACAATCCATTAGCAAGCACGAGTGATATGAATAGCCCTAGGTATATTCCGAACAATTATATTTTGTTTGTGCATATTTGATTGTTGCTTGAATATTGGTTTTCTCGCATATTATAGAAATTGTGTATCGATTAGTGGTGAGGCAACGTATGCAGCTTCCAGGAGGTGAAGGTTGATCAAGATTATACCAAGAATAAGAACTATCCTGAGCAGGCAAGTCATCACTAATCTTTGAGCATGTTGAACCTATTGCGAAAATTATGTTGATTTAAATAAAATTGCATGCTATATATATGAATATGAATGTCCTACTTGTTATATATGCCATGCCTTGATATTGATTATCTGTATGACCATTGTAAACCCTGCTATCGTGTGTACTTAGTCAATATTGAACAAATGCTTAGTCATGCTAATTAGAATCATGCATTCTCATATTTATCAAGTGCTATATGCTTGGGCAACTACCTTAGGGAAGGTAGTTGAGATGCGGCATGTGGAGACATGAGCGCCACATTGCCATGACAAGGATGACACGAACTGTGAAAGGAGAAATAAAATTAAACACTGTTTTCGACTGGGGCGGCTGGGGTACTTGGGTGGAGTCCGGAAAAGGCTAGTACCATCCCTGTTCAGTTAAGGACCGAGCCATGAAGTTAAGCATGAAACGACTCTCGTACAACCGTATTTCTCGTATGGGTATAGACCTAGCGGAGTACATAGCCGAGCGAAGGCAGTATCCCTGCATAGTGGTTATTCTTGATGTGTGTGAGGCAGGGCCTACGGTGGGGCAGCCATTGGTGGGACCGCGAGGGGCGAGTGCTTACAGTGGTGTCGCCATCGGTAGGACTGCCATGTGTAAACTTAACTTAACTAAAACTTAATGCATGTGTGAGTCTTCCCTTCCCGGGAGCGCCAGAACTCCTCTCACTGCTAGAAACTTATGACGCCTAGAGTACAGGAGGATGCAAGTTCATGGAGCGGGTACTACCAATGTGAGGTTATCGAAAGGCTTTGCTGTGGCAAGTCTCATTCGTTGGGACGTAGGCTCATGTGTTGGGCAAGTCGCGGAGTACGGGTAAAGTGTACATCCACTGCAATGTGAGTAAACCAAATCTATTCGAATAGCCGTGCTCGCGGATATTGAGCACCGGGACATGTATTACACTTGGCTAGACTCTAAATTCTTAAACTGGTTGGGTGGGATGTTGCATGATGATTTTGTACTGGTGGAACAACTTCTCGAGAGGCGAGAAGGGGTAGACCCCAGAAAACCATGACGACCAGTGGCGGGAAGCTATCCTTGGGAACACAATGGATGGTGGACAGAACCGTCGCTGTTTAATGAACAATGGAACTAAAACTTGAACAGTTTATGCTAGGTCTTAGGTTTGTGAAATGATATTTGAAAACTCAGCTTTACGCAAAGTAACCATAGCCACTCCTTGTATTATCCTGTACATTACTGCATTTTGTGTGGTGGCTTGCTGAGTACTTTTGTACTCATTGTTGCTCTATATATCTTTTAGCAGAGTGTTGAAGAGAAGCCCTTGTTAGTATGCTTGCGTACCTAACAAGATGATCGGAGTGTGGTTCCATTCTAGGTCTCGTTCCCAGTCGACTGCTTGTGGCATGTCAACCGGGCCCTTGTATTATTTTGTCTTCCGCTGTTGTTCTCTGTTAGTTGTTGGCCTGCCTGGCCCTAATGTAAGCATTTAACTCTCTTAGCCTGAATTCATTCGTGATATGTTGTGATTTGGCTATGTATGTGTGTACCAACTACTGATCCAGGGATTGGTACTGATAAACACAGAAGATTTCCGAGTTCCAAAATCGGGGGTCGACAGAGCTGGTATCAGAGCATATCGACTGTAGTTCGAGAACCTAGATAGAATGGTCGTTAGTTTAAGGACTCTATATTTTTCAAAGCTATTTTTAAATGCTAAAAAAAGATCTGTGAAAACATTCAAACAATTTTTGACGTCATCTTACCTTTCTTGGAAAATGTCTGATTCCGATGCACCGAAAAGAAAAATTATTTTGATACCTTACATCTCAACCCTTCCTTTGAAAAGGCAATCTTACTACTCGATTTGTGATTAAAAAATATTGGTTCTATATTCTCATCTACATTTCAAAATTATAGAATAAGAACCGAAAGCAATTAAGACGCTATAGGAATATTATTGATTGTTGCCGAAACCTCATCCTCGAAAGTAGACGATTGCATCATATTATATGAAAATAATGTGAAGAAAAAGAAAAGAGCAGAAACTAACTTATCGATCATGACAACTTATCATTGTTAGTACTAGTTTCCTTTGGTTACACCCTCGTGCAGTAGAAGTGAAGTCTCGAATAAGCCGTTAGTGACCACTGACAACAAATGTACTACCTTGGCATGGGAATATCGTGGAGAACAATAAAAGGAAGAGAAACGGACTGCGTATCTATAAGAAAGCCATGCAAGATTGCTAGTTATTTCCATAAACATACAAAGATTTGAAGCTTATGGATCAGGAGAAACATAAGATGGTATGCAGATCAGGAAATTTTACTAAAAGGAACGTTGTAAACTACAATGTGGACAAGAATTTAGGGATGAAGGATAAAATAAATATGAATTTCACCTTCCGGTTGCTTTAAAATTCCAAGGACAAGTCCAACTCATATGGCATAATTCCCCCGAAAACTTTGTTTTGTGAATTGTCTATAGAAAATATTGCAAAACAAATTAACTTTTGCATTCTGAAATATAGTTTTATAAAGAAAATTGCTCCAAAAAAGAAAGGAAGTGTTTGTTTCAAACAATGTAATTGAAAAATTGTCTCCCAAAACCGCTTTGAAATTATATTAAAATTATAGGAATGGTCAAAATTAGTTGCAAAAGAAAATTTTCTTGAAAAACATCTGTGAATTTTGGTTCCAAATAATTTATTGCAAAATCATGCAAAACCAAATTTTGAGTGCATGACTTCAAAATCATCTTTTCAAAAGGTTTTCAAAGCTAAACTTCTGGAACTATTGCCTAAAGTTTTGCTTGAAAAGGAAATTATTATGAAAGCTTTACAAAAGCTTCGTGAAAACTGTTTTCCAAGCGATTATTTCCATATGAAAATGTGGCAATTTCTAAAAAGGTTCTAATTTTTTTTGAGTTTTCTTTTGGGATGTTCAAAAGTATTGTTGTCTCAACTATGAACCATGCATACAAACTATATAACATTTTGGCCCTGTTGGCAAAAAAAAGAATATTTTGGACTAAGAGTTGATTACATAATAATTATAATGTATTGTGTTATGTCATATTTGGATTTTGTACTAGTTGTTCGTACATGTGAAACAAATCATTATATTATAAATGTCAATAGAACTCTTACTAAGACAAGGGTGTTATAAAGTAGTTTAAGGCCCTCTTTTTTTTCCAATTCCATATTTTGGACTTACGTTTGTACGCTTTCCAAGTTTCTAAATGGTGTCTTTTTTAAACAATGTTTTAACTTCTTAGAAGTCAAATCATTCGTTTATACCCTCAAATAGCTATCACATAAATCAGATAATTCATCAATTTCATATCCTAAACCGTAAGATGTAGTACACATATTTTTTTCATGCGAGTCATGGTGATCAACAAATAATCAAAATCGTAAGATGTATATGTAAGAGCTACTATGAACAATTGTAAATAGGTGTCAAAATTAATTGCTATTAATTAGATATCTAGTGGCTTGCCAGCCACATAATTAATTTCTCTCTACATGTATATAAACAAGGACGAAGCAGGAACAAATATTACCATATTCTCATATATATTACGCGGTCAATATTCTAATTACATGTGTTAAGTCCTTTAAAATTCCTTAAAATGCTCTCAAGGTGTCACATAGTTCTATAATAAATTAGAGCAAGTATTAGAAATTTTAAGAAAAAAGCAAAGTATCTATTTCTTGATTTTCACTTAAAACGGTAAGTCTAATATTATAAACCGTTAGATTAAATTGATCTCAGAACAAACTAAATACTACGAGGTCCCACCTCTCCTCCCGCGGCATAGGTATGCACCTACATATGTCGGTATGTAAGCTTCCCCTCCCTTTTTTTATTTTGATCTCTTTCTTCTTTTTTTGCATGCATACGCTTCCCTTCTTTTCTTACTATATCATACGTCTTCATGAGATGATTTAATCACAAGAAATTTGAGTATATTGCTCTCGCATTTTTCATTTGTGACCATACTACATGGTATATATATAGTTGGACTGTATGATAATTAACTAGCAATAATTTCTTATTTACTTGAGAAAAAAACATGATTCAAAAGTCGTAATTACTTAATCCATCTTCTACTCAAAAGTTTATGAATGGTTTTTTAAGATACCTTAAGAAAAATAGAAACCTTAAATTATTATAAAATAACATTATCTGAACTTTAGTTTACCCTTAATCTATGGGACAAAATTTTTTAACAAACAATAATCTTACATTTCAATAATATAAGTGTCCGTACATGCGCGCGGGCCACCTTCCTAGTTATCATATAAATATGCTTGAGTACTAGCTTGCACGATGTTACCATTTACTATAATTTACATTCTTGTACATGAAAATCAAAACAAAAAAACTTATAAATTAATGACATAGGAAGAAATCTGAATCTTTCCTTGCACCGGTTACATCAAGAATTCTGTTTGTCTATCTGCAATGCAACTCCTCAAAATAAATCCAAATGGAACAATCAGTATCTTCCTCCCTCATCTTCCTCTCTGAATCTGTAGTTTCATTCGTTGTAATTAATTCACCTCTCTTCAGATCGATCGGTAAACTGATCTAGACACCTACTACTGCATCTGCAGATGATTGTTCAGCAGCTGCTACTGGTTCAGAGGAATCCTAAAACTGAAAACCAGTCGCAGTCTCTGCACGCTGCTGGTTGCAGTAACCTCCTCCAAAGCCACTGCCCCTTGAATCACTTGGCAGTAGCAACGGTTTCTTGGCAACGTGCACTGCTGCCATCATCAATGAATGTTTTAATTTTTCCCAGTTGAAATGATGAATAGATGCTCTATTCTTATTTCTATCTAGTGCTTTACTGCCTAACCTTCACTATAGTTTTTGAGTTTGTTGGCAAAAAAAATCTTTGCCTTGAATTTGAAACTTGTGGATTGCATAAAGCATGATCTAAATCTAGATTGTTGTTGGATATGAATTTGTGAAATAGAGTTGCTATGGTCTTTCTCTAAGTGATACTGGAATTCCGGAGCATATGTTTTTTTAAAAAAGAATAAAATTTATAAGTTCCTCAATAATATGATGATCTTAATTGAATAACCCTATAATCATATGTTGCTTCTTTTTATGCTGTCTTGACCAAGATACCCACTTACGTGCACCCACCATATACTGGAGATTAACAAAATATGCCTTCCACCTATCATGGTTGTTTTACCTCTACCCTAGGTGTGAGCAACATTTCCATCCACCAAATAAATATTCCATCATGTCCTTAAAATGTCTCTCATATTAGTAGCTTGCAATAAAATATGGCTAAAAAAAGAAAGAAAGAAAGGACATGGAAGGTAGAAAATATTCTCAATCATTAAGAGAAGAAAGAAAATGAGAAATACAGGAAAAGGAGTGCTCATTAATATTTTTGGGCAATCATAAAAAATAGTTGGAGAAAAACCAGTCATATCTCAAGATATTATCTGATATGACTGAAAGTTAGGAATAAAGCTTAGAAGTGTCGACGGGGGATACCCATAGACCGGATATAGAGAGTATTGGGATCCGTTGGTACGAGGATCTATGTAGTACGACATCAAGCAAACAAAAGATAAGGATTATACTGGTTCAGGTCCCTTAGCAGGTAATAGCCCTAATCCAGTTGGTATGGGATTATATGATGGAAACCACAGATTACAAAGGGAATAACAGAACTCGGTGATACCGACGAGAACGCAGTCGAGTTGGCACGACTAGATCTCCCGGCCTGGCGACTTGGCTCCTGTAGGCTCCAGCTCCGTAGGCTGTGGGGATGTGTTGGCAGTAATATTCGATGCCTTAGGTCCTGCCTAGGGGGTCCCTTATATACCGCGGGTCAGTTGATCTCCAAGTAGGACTCGGAGATATCGGACCCCTCACGATATAGTAAAGACCCAGTATTGTCCGAGTAGAACTCTTTCCGTCCATAGATTCTATTTCTATCACGGGTTAGATTTCCTTTATGTATACGGAAACTATCCGTACACGCGCGGGTATACCGTATCAGTATACAACGTACATCCAAGGGTAGATGGTATACCTTATCCGTAACCCTGACAGTAGCCCCTGACTTCTGCTTAAATGAACTCATGTCATTGATCGCGACTTCTGATGTCGGAATTGTCGTTCTCATCTAGTCGATCTCAGTGCAAAAACCATAGAGACAAAGAGCTATCGACAAAAACCGCATGAAGTTCAACGGTCATGAGTGAATTTAAATTGAAGTCTGAAAACTACCGCGCGCAACGGACCCAGAATTTTCCGGCAGCAATCTCTCTCCTTTCCTTGGAATACGCGTCGTCGGTAGTGCGCTTATTTAAAGGGATTTTGGGAGTCCATTTGAAGTCCATTTGCCAGAAAACTCTCCTGCCTTCTAGCGCCCTTCGTCTTCTCCGCTCTCCGCAAAGAAAACCCTAGCTTGCTTCTTCCCTCTTGTTCTCCGGCGATCCTCCGACGGCGATGGATCTTGAGAAGTCTACCTCAACCACCGCGTCCTTGAGGAAGCTGCAAGACGACGGTGCCCTCCCTTGTCGCGGGACCATGCAAAGGGAGGCAGGTGGTATATAACCTAAACCCATCTTAGGCCGCATGGTTGTCGTTGAAGATTACATTTCTTGCGGTTTTCTTCCTCCGCCTTCTCAATTTCTTCTTCTTGTCTTGAATTTCTATGGCCTTTCTTTGCTTCACTTGAACCCCAACTCCATCGCATTCCTTAGCATCTTTTCTCATCTTTGCGAGGCCTACATTGGGGTAGAGCCCTTCCTTGATCTATTCCGCTTTTACTATGAGCTGCGATGGATGGAACCCAACAGGGTATCTGGATGCGTTGCATTCCAACTTCGGGATCGGCTGAAGTCGCGTTACATCCCCTTCCAATGCCCCTCTTCTCACAGCAAGTGGCGGGCGAGATGGTTCTATCTTCAGATAGAAAACTCGGATCCCGTCCTTGTTGTCCCTAAAGAACAACCAAACAAAATCCCTGAGTGGACCGCCAAACCCGCCCTGACTCCCTCCCTCCAATCTTTTATCGAGATCATCGATGATCTCCGAAATTGGGGGTTGTCGGGGTACGAAGTCGCTGCCGACTTCGTAGGTAGGCGGATTCAACCGCTGCAGGCCCGTGCCCATCCGGCCTTTGATTACTCTGGGCCAGAGGACACGACCCGGATCTCTCCTCGGTGTATTTTTGCTCGCATTTCTAATCTTGTTCCGAGTCCATCTGTTTCTCCTAACTTATCGAGTTCTCGTTTTCGATTCACAGGTCTAGACAGTGACACCGGGGGGCGCCGCGTCAGTCAGGTGATCATCAGCGCCCCCTCAGCGACGGGCGAGATCTCGATCCCCCTTTGCGAGAAGGGAACGGCCGAACGCGCCGCTGCGATCAATGTCAGTGTACTCGATGATTCCTTTACATCTTTCTCCTCGAGATCGTGTCGTGACTTCACGTTGTGCAGGCTCTCCCTCTGACGGACGTAATCGGGCCACTCATGGACCACCAGGCGGCAGCGTCGTTGAAGGAGAGCATCGCCAAGGAGGCCTCTGACGCTGTTGCTGCCACCACGAGTGGTAGCAACGTCCCAAAGAGGGGAAGGAAATTCTCCTCCGTACGAGGGACCCGTCGGAAAGCGAAAAACTCTACGGTAAGCTTCTTTGTGGTTCCCTAACACGTAGTCGGAACAACTTGATCTCATACCATTTCATCTTACTCAGGACTCGGACGCGTCTCCTCCACCTTAGCGAAGGCAAAGGTTGGTGACGATCGGTGAGAAGTAAGTAAACATTTTTGAGGTCTTGTCATCTTCAAAAATCCGATCACCTCGCCTCATGGGGAAGAGAAAAATCTTCACAGGGCGGCGCGGGCAAAGACGGCACAAGGTGGGACTGATGCCGCTTTCAGCGTGTCCCCTGCGGCGACCTCGCTACTAAGGACCAGGAGGCGGCACGGAGTGGCCCTGCTGTCAGCCTCATGCCTACCCGAGGCCCGTCCACCGATGCCCTCACCTGGGAGGAGCTCCAAGCGGAGATGGAGCGCATCCTCTAGGCCGGTGCTCGCGGCGTAGGTCACGAGATCGAGGAGGCCAGGGCGGCGGCGTCATCGGCAAACCAACGTGCCGACTAGCTAGCGAGCGACCTGGCCGGAGGCCCACGAGGACCTCCTAAAGATGAGGGAGCTAGTGGCCGGCAACGAGATGCAGCGGCGCGGACTCGAGCACCGGATGTCCGAGCTCGAGGGCCACATGATCGACATCTGCGGTTCGCTGCGAACGTCATTCACCAGCCTGCACCAACTCGCCGGGGAGTGTAGTGTCACGACTACCATCCCGGCGCATCCCGATGAGTTCTCGCTGACGTCATCGCTTGTGGAGCTGGCTACGGCGATGGAGGAGATCACATCCAAGCACGCGGCTAGGATCGGGGAGGAGACGTCCAACGGCATCTACACCGGGGCGTGCCATGTCCTTGCGTGCATGAGGCTGGCATATCCCGATCTGGACCTTAAGAAGGCTTTGGATCTGGGGGCCGCTGATGACGCACGCAAGGATACGATGGAAGAAGTCGGTGACTTGGGGGAGTCCGTCCTCCCCCTTTTTGAAGAGTAGGACATTTGTTTTCCCTTGTACCCCTTAACCTTCATGCTGTAAAACTTGTCTATGGATCCGAACTATTCTTATCTGAACAACTGTCTGATGGTATTTCTTAACGACATTACTAGAAATATAATTCCCAGCAATGGCGTAGAAATACTTCTGGTATATTATGGTTACAGAGTTCATCCGCAAGCGCACGGATATACCATTGTAGCATTTCACTCTAGAGTATTCCAAGGGTATCGTATTTATTTTATCCCGTGGGAAGATCATGTAGAGAGAACTCAACTAATAATTTATATATTACTTGTGATAATCATATTCTAAATAGGGGTTAAGATAATCCAAGGGTAGAGTGACACACAAGCATTAACTACTCATTCTCATAATATATCATCTAAGCTGTGTGGAAAGAAAAGAGAAAGGAAATCTACTCCTATACTTCTAATATACATAGTATACATACATTCTAGTTAACTGATATACTAGCTAATACCCTCTATCCGATGCTCTCCTGGTACTTTAAGAAGCCACCCCTGACTGCCGAGTTCCTTACGACAGCCCGTCATGACCATACAACTAGGGCTAAATACAGAGGAATACCCTCCCCAGGAAATTAACTTAGGATTATATATAGGCGCGGAGGAATACCTGTACTGAGCTGTCACCATCAGCGGCCCACCTCTCATCCGCAATATATAACCCCAAATAATGATATCCCGTAATCTAGACACCACGTCTAAACTACCAGATACTACTATAATATCATCGTCATGACATAGAGTAATTGCATAAGCAAACACTGTACCCGTACCAAAGCATCTCCCAGATAAGCTAGCCGTATATTCAGTATAACAAGAACATAATGTAAAGTAGGTACTTATATACTCGGAGAGTATTTTAATACCATAAATGTATATAGAAGAGTATTCTAATAAAAGTACAAATCTTACAAAAGAGAAGAGAAAAGCTACTAGAGCCATTGCTTAAGGTGTGTGTTGAAGTGAAGAGAGTGAAGCCTTTATATAGAGGTGGTTATGACAGTTGTGAAAGGGGGATTGTCCGAAGTACCCTCCAAACGTCATTGGGGTGCAATCTTGGACATCCATGCCAAACTGTGGCCTCAACGGTGGAGATGGGGGTTTGGCCGAATGTCGCGACCGAGAAAATTGCATTTTCCCGAACGCTAGTGTATTAATCCCCGTCCCAGGAAAAGCCGGGGTACACCATACAAACATGATATAAAAGACACATCTTTATTATATCGATAATATTTACATTATTACAAAGGCACTTAAGGCCTGACAATAAAAAATAAACAGCAGCGGACTAGCGGGCCTACGGCTCCATCTTCACAGGCGCTCAACTGGGGTGTAAGCCAAGACTCCACCTAAGACATCTTCTCCAAAGCTTCTCTTACTGAAGGGGGGAGAAAGATAGAGCAAGAATGAGTACAACCACAGTACTCAGCAAGCCACACCGGCGGATGCACGATTAATGCAAGGGGGTACAAGGGGTAATGATATAGGGGTTAAGTTTTGCAGAAAACAGCATTTAAAAGTCACTTAGTTGCCCAAAGCCATTTTAAAAAGACGATCCTAGAGCTACACAGTATTATTAATCAAGGTCGTGAACCCGCACGAACCTGCCTTAACCCAAGGCCTACGATGATTCAGACCGAACTGGCAACCCGACCCTGGATCCCAGCTCGTCCCAAGCCAACCCAGGCCAACCATTCCACATTTTAGTTGTTGAGCAAATTTTAAGAATTAAAACACTAACTTGGGTACATTGCTTGGCTTGCCCATAACCGAGGGCGCGGCTATTCGAATAGATTATACTCTGATCAGAGGTGTACATCTTTACCCACAAGACACATCTTCCTCATGTGTAACCACGTGCCACATACCACCACGGTATACGGACGGAAGACGTGACATAGTTCCCAACCCATCCTAGCCATAGACAAGAGTACCGACCCAATCCCACCTACGGCCGGAACCTCCGGGACAGGTAGGCAGGATTGAGCCCCTAGCAGCAGGACACCAGCCCTGTGCCATGACATCTCGACTACCGGGCCGCAGCTCGTGTAGCCTTCATTTGTCCTAGAGATGTCCATCGACCCCCGACTTCGTCCATCTCCATCCGTGTACTTTTGTTTATAACCAGACTGAGCCACAAACTAAGCCTTACCCACTAGACATGTGGAAGTACGGTAGTGCTTTGCAACAGAGGCCCGAAGACCGGTCCTTATATGGCCGAGGTGCTACTATCAAAACCATGCACCCCGAGCTCAGCCTAAAACCATTTTGGGGATTTTGAATAGAGGGGGCGGTGTGAATCCAATTCCACAATAAACCAACAATTCCAAAGTGTCCAGGTGATATGAATATCCCAAAGTCTAGAGTTGTAAAACCGCCTAATGTTACCTAATTAATCAGCGAAGCATCTACCTAAAATTATACTAGTGGTACTATGAGTAGAGTGTCCACTAGTTGGGGTTTTGTTTAATCTAGGGTGAACAAGGTAATAATAACAATAACAATAATAATAAGGTCATAACAAAGGTAGATAGGCATGGCTAGATAAAACAGTGATAACGCGGGAATTTAAATAAAGTGATAATGCAATAATTTAAAGCAACATAATTTTATAAACTGGGATTCAATATGTTCAAGGATGATGTGACTTGCCTTGCTCGCTTTCCCAAACGCCGGCTTCAACTTCCACGAAGAGCGGATCCTCCGAAGCTGCAGCGTCTACACGACCAACGGAAAAGAAAAGGCTTTTACTCTAATAAACTCCATATAACAAGCAGGAACAAAGCACAAAAATGGGTTCTTGACTTCTTAGGGAAAAATTAGAGACTTGAACGGTCCAATTCCGAGTTCAAATGGCCAAGTTATGGCCATTTGAAGTTTATATGCTCTTTAAATGAATATTTGCGAATTTGTTCATTTAAATTTTAATTTAAAATGGATTTATTGCGTCAGCCGAGGGGAGGAGCGCGCGGACCGGGTCCACGGGGGTGGGGCCCACGCGGCAGCCCCACGGTCCACGGTGGACCGGGCGCACCCGGGCTCACACCGGCCGGCGCCGTGGGTCCCACGCGTCAGCCGCACCCGAGGGCGCGAGCGGCTGACAGCCGGGCCCCACGCGGCAGCCGCACGGCGCGCCCGAAGGCGGCCACGCCGGCACAGCCGACGGGAGGCGGCGCGCCCGCGTCCCTATGGTCGCCGGCGGCGGCCATAGGTACGGCGGAGCGGCGGCCGAGAGAGGGGAGGGAAGGGGGAAACGAAGCGGCGGTCCACGGCTCACCCCGGGTCGACGGCGACGACGGAAACGGCGACCGGAGCGGAGGAAGGCGGCGGCGCGGCTCGGGTGGACGGGGTCGACGGTGCTCCGGCGGTCGGCGAGCGAAACGGAGGGGTGGACGAGGTCGCCGGGGATGCGGCGAAGCCGAAGGAGGCGGCGCCGAGGGGAGAGGTGGTCTGGGACGACAACGGCGGCGGACCGGAGCTCGGCGGCGACGACGGAGAGAGAGGGCGACGGCGCGAGCTCGACTCCGGCGGGGATAGAGAGCGGCGAGTGGCGGAAACGGTGGAGGGAGGCACGGGGAGGGTTTATATAGGGTTGGGAGTGAGAGAGGGCGGCCGGATGAGGGGGAAACGGGCGCGGAAGATCCGGCCGCCATTGATGGCGCCGGCGAGGTTAGGGGAGAGGTTTCCAAACGAATCCGAGGGAGAGAGGGAGGGAAAAAATGGGGGGAAAGAGAGAGGAAATCACGGGGAATAATTCCCCCCTATTGATTGCACGCGGGGACGACGGGATGCGGCGGATTCGGCGGCGGCGGCGGCGCTAGGGCGCGGACGAGGCGGCGGGAGCGGCGGGAGGACAGGGATGACAGGTGGGCCCCACCCGTCAGCGAGGGTGGCGGGCGGGCCCGCCCGTCAGCGGCGCGCGCGCGGAGAGGAGGCCGAATGGGCCGCGGGGAGAGGAGAGGGAGAGGGAGGGAGCTGGGCCGGACCGGCCCAAGAGGGAGAGGGGGAGGGAAAGGGAACTTTTTTAGGGCTTTTCTTTTTATAAAATCATTTTAACTTTGTTTATTTCTTAATAATTATTATTTGTGCTCTGAAAATTCCACTAAAATTTGAGGGCTCTTTTTAGACCAAGGAGAATTTAACAAAAATTCTCCGGGCCACATTTGAATTTTTCTTGTACGTATTTTAGTGTTTGCCAAATTCTTTTCGAATTTTAATTAATTCTATTATTCCTTTTAGAAAATAATTTTTATTTCGGGATGAATTTATCAGGACGTGACACCGAACCCCCTGGTTTGGCTGAACCATGGGCTGGCCCAAACCAGCCCATCTTCGGTTGGCGACTTCCTCTATTGCTTCACTTTGTAGACTTGTGAATTTTGGCCCAATTCATCGTGTCAATTCTGAGTTCTTGGCCCATTCATACATAAGTCTGGTTCTCGACATCGTCCGATTGATTTATCGTCTATGTTGATGTCGATTCTCCTCCACTTTAGTGTCATTCTCTACAAAAAGGTTAGTATACCTAATACTAGTGGAATATTATTATTCTAACAAACATATGCATTGCAAGCATCACTAGTTCTCTCCTATTTTGATAATATTGACGGTCGAAACTGTTTGATAACGACCGTCAACACTGTCTCCCTTGTTTCCTTAGCATGTGATTCTGAGTACTTTGTTGTCGTTGTAGATATATTGATGTCGAGGATGTCCAGCAGCACGGGCAGCCCGATATGCCGGTGATCGTTCCGGCGCTCACACTCGAGCCGTTCGTGCTGTGGGAGGAAATTAGTCAGGGCCCGTCCGCGGAGGCAAACATGGCGATGACGTTGCTAGGTTTGTATCTTGCTCTCCTTCACTCCTTGTGTTCGGATTGACTTAATTAGCTGTGTTCTCGGAAGAGAAGAATAGCTTGACTTAGTCTTTTCCGTGTCGGGCAGATTTCAAGAACATGTTGGCTGACCGAGCTCGTCGAATCCGATATTGGAAGACGAAACTCGAGGTGGTGGAACTCAAAAAAATCATGGTGCAGGTGAAGAAGGACCAGGCCATGGAAGCTCTCCGGGGGTCACGAGGTGTGGTTCAACTCGTACCTCAGG